CCAGAGGGGCAACATTCACACGGAGGAAATGCAGGACACACAGGAATGCATTACTATGAGGGGCACAGTGGGAAGGGTTACTGGGCAGGGAGTGGGAGAGACAGGGTTAGGGTTTGGGGATGGAAAATGGGGAGTGAAACTAAATGTACACATAATGTTGAATGTAAAACAAACTCTTAAAATAAAAAATTGAAACAAAGGACTTGGTTTGCTTATAAATTTGCCATTCAAACAACTTTGCAGGTAGATAGAAAAGAGTCCTGGGACCAATACCCATTTCCAAGCCCCCCTGGTTATGGTGGGAGTGCTTCTGGGCTAAATGAGTCATCCCCAGTGACAGACTGCATCCTTGGGTGTCAGTGAGCAGAGCTTGGGCCTCTGTTACTGGTGACTCAAACCCAGTCCAGGACTGAGAGGGTGAAAGTCAGCACCGAGCCCTGCCAGTCATCAGGCTGCAATAGCAGACAGATAAAGCCTGCTGCGAAGTTAGCAGAGAACAATATGGATGTACCTCAGATTGTGGGCTCTGTACCAGACCACTGCAATAAAAAAGAAAGAATTATTGCAATTCGTGAGTCAAATGAATTTTTTTGGTTTTTCAGTATGTTATAAAAGTTGCTAACATGCAGCCAAGTCTGAGAACCACTGCTCTTTATGACTGCTGTGTTGTGAGGCTGTGGTCCAAACAGCTATCAAAGTGAACACACACTGTCTGCTTCAAAGGGAGAAAAAAAAATATTTCAAGTCCCCATAGAGGTGAGTGATCAAGCATGAGCCACTAAATAACGAGAATGACACAGATTAAATCTAACACTGCTAAGCAATTTCTAGGTTTTAGAAACTTGAACCATATTATCTCTGGTTTAATTCCTCAAACTTGTTGCCACCGACTTGATTTCAACTCAGAGTGCAGAGTAGAATTGCCCCATAGCGTTTCCAAGGCTGTGGTGACAGTGGTGCCTAAGGCGTTTGACTGCTAACCACAAGGTCAGCGGTTCAAACCCACTAGCCACTCCTAGTAGGGAAGACTGGACAATCTACTCTGTAGAGATACCACCTCAGAAACCGAAGGAGGGGTCCCTATGAGTCTCCATGGCAGTGAGGGTTTTTTTTTTTTTTTAATCTATGGAAGCCGATTGGCACATCTTTCTCCCTCAGAGAGGCTGGTGGGGTGAAACTGCTGATCTTTTAGTTAACAGCTGAGTGCTTAACCACTGTGCCACTAGGGCTCCTTTAGAATTCCCCACAATCTTAAAATAAGGTATTATTACTTTCATTCTGTAGATGAGAAAACAGAGACTCGGGGGAAATTAAGTAAGTCATCCAGGATAATTAAACAGCAAGTTAGTGACAGAACCAGACTTCAAATTCAGACTTGTGTGAACCCAAATCCTCTGCTTTTTTCATGAATGACACCACATCTCTCATGACCAGGGTCAACCTCTCTGAATAGACCTATTAGAATCAACCAAGAATCTCTGAGTATGGGCAGGCTTCCAAAATATTTGTTCCAAGTGACCCAGCCATTATTACTGCCAAAAAGAGAAGCAAACCACAGAGATAACCAAGTATCCATTTCCCCATTCTTGCACCCCAATTTTTGCCCCAGTAGCCACCCCTTCTCTACAACGCAGAAGTGTATTTCCAGAATCTCCAGAAGTGGGCTAAGGGTACTATAACCTTTGCCATTAGAGGTTCAGGAATCTAGCTCCAATCCAGTCAGCAGGTGAAATTCTCCTGGCAAAAGAATTGGTTTAGGAATGGGCCTGTGACTCAAAATAGGCCAAGGAGGATTGCAGCAAGATTTGCTGCAGGCTTCTGGAAAAGGAGATTCCCAAGAGTTGCCAGAATAGATGTCCTGCTTCCTTTGGATGTTGCAGGGTACAGGTATCAGCCTAAAGCTGCAGAAGCCAGCTCACAACCAGCCTGAGGATTAAACTGACAGGGAGATACAAATAGCCTAGAGAATAAAGAAAAGTGGAGTGTGAGCCTTGATTGAACCATGCCTGATCACCCTTCTGCTGGACTTTTTAAGTCCAGCTGATCAATTTATATGTGCCAATAAGTTCTACCCTATGGTTTATATCCAAAGTGGATATTAAGTTACTTGCCAACAAAAGCACCCAGAAGAGCACAATCTCCCTTGGTGACCAACTACACCTCTGAAGACCCTGCCCCATTCTCCACCACTCCTGTGTGATGGTGTGGGGAGCTGCTGAGGGGGTCCATCACTATCCTAGGATATGCCTATCACAGATGGAAGGCAGAGCCCACACTCACAAGCCAACTGAGTTGGAAGAGAATTCAACCCTAGTTTAAAGTCTCTTTTAGGTAAGGAAAGAAATTGAGGCTGTGAGAAGTTATGAGTCCAGGTGCCTGGACTTCCAGGTCAGTGTTTTTGCCTCCATGCTATGGTACCTCAGTTTCCCACCAGACCAGCAAATGACTTCAGAAAGCATTTACCTGGCACAGGTGAGATTTTGACTACCTATTCTGTGTCAGCTTCTCGTACTTACAGATGCTCCTCGTCAGCCCCACCCAGCTCTGTCCCTGGAGAAACTGCTCCCTACACACAGTTAGCATTTAAGGGCGGGACCCAGAGGCCACCATCTTTACTGATCTTTCATCTTTCCCTTTCAAAATACCAAAGAGGTAGAATTACTATTATATATGTTCTTGAAAGACGTGACTTTAAATCTTTTAATTTCCGGAGCTTTGCAGCACCCTCCCTTGAAATACCTGGAGAGCAGCCCACCCTAGGATTGTGGGACCCAGAGACAACACCCCAGATGGAGGTTCCCAAACCAAATGTCTAAAAATTTAAAGTATAATCAAACTAACAAGCTATTAGTTAGGTTTTATCTGCATACCTCAGCAAATACACTTTCATAAGACCTAGAAGGCTAGACTTGAATTTGGAATTTTTAATTCCTCAAAGTTCCGTGGCAGCATGTGGGGGCACGAGGAGAGTGGGGCCCGGCCGCAGCCTGACCCATTCTCTTTTCAGCCCTAAGGCCCATCCCGCACAGCAAGGAGCCTCAAGTGCAGCCAAACAGAAACCTAGCCTGCACGTCCAAGCTCCATGCACAACTCTACTAATAGCTTTTCTCTGGTCTTAGAGGTGTGCATAGGTCACACTCACAAAGATGGCTATGGGGAAGAGCCTCTGCAGGCCCTGGAAGCAGGTTCAGGAATGTTAGATAAGAATTTGGGGATTCCCGAGTACCTGGAGTATGGTCTAGGAGGGCACCTTGGCCCCATAGACTCCTTGCCCTGTGTGGAGGGTCATGGCCATAGGAGGGCAGGGTGGTGCCCTCTAAGGCACACAGGACAGGGGCCCTCCTGCCCAGGTCCAAGGGTAGTCTGCATCTTTATTCAGTACTAAAAACAAAACAAAACCAGTTGCCGTGGAATCAGCTCTAACTCATGGTGACCCTGTGTGTGTCAGAGGAAACTGCTCTACGGGATTTTCAGTGACTGATATTTCAGTAGTAGATCACCAGGACTTTCTTCCTAGGTGCCTCTGAGTGCTCTTGAAATGCTAACCTTTCGATTAGCAGCTGAGCTCCTAATTGTTTGTGCTACCCAGGAATTCCCTCCTGTCCTACGCAAGATCCTAAAACAAGGCTAGATTAACAAGACCAGGTTTTGTGACCTTGGGCAATTATCTCCACTCCTCTGGACTTCAGTTTTCTCTCTTCACCCTGAGGGAGCTGGGCTGCTTCTACATTCTAGAACCCTGTGCAAATCCTAGGAAGCAGATGTATTCAGCCCCTGACCCCATTCAGCAATTGCTGGGACCCTGGTCCCTACCCCTCAGGGAAGAGAGAGCCACAGTGGGGAAATGAACGGCCTTTATTTATTACCCACTGGCGGCCCCAGTATGTTGGTGGTGGTTTTGCAGCATGGAAGTCACATCTCCCAGGCCATGCAGCAGAGGCTCAGGGTACTGGGCTGGCCAATATGCCCACCTGTGGGCGCACCACTCTCAGGCTGATGCCCAGCTGGGATTACACGGTCTACTCACAGATCAAACCAGCAGCACAATGACCCTCACAGCCAGATGCTCCTGCCTGCTGAGTTCCCAAGACCTCACTCTGTCTTAGGCACATTAGATAGTGTTGTACCCAAGCCCAGGGTATTACTCTACCTGGTAACAAAAGGCATAGCTTCATCACAGCCAAAGGGCATATCACCTTAGAGGCATCTTTTTAAAGCTAAACTAAGCTCCACTCAGGAAACATGGCGGTGACAGGCAGCTCGCAGACAGGCTGGACTACGATCCTGTAGAAAATAAAGAGTTTGGGTGCACAGACATGGGGACAAGGCTATGCAAGGCCAAGACACAAAAGGAGGACACGGCCATTCAGAGGAATCAACAGGAAGCAAAGAGATGGTGCTCTAGACAGAAATAGTCTCTGCTTACGCTGCATATTCATCCAGGGGGCCTTAGACCGGAAACCTAGCACTCTGCTAAGAGTCTTCTCCACAGGAAATGGACAAGAGCAGCATTCACAAGGCAGAGGTCAAAGTGAGGTCACGAGGTCAAGATGGTGCCAGGGGTGGTAAAACCATAAAGCCGCCTCTTAGGAAACATCCAGAAGAGGAAGGTCCAGCTCTGACATTGTCTGCATGGCCAGTGGCCCAGCCTGAGCCCCCACCATAGACCTGGGGGTGAGCATAGGTTTGGTGGCTTTCTTAGTGCGTTTTCACAGTTGGTCTCTTCCTGGGGGAGCTGTATCCACATGATGCTGAGCTGGGCTGTGGCTAATTGAGGGTCTTTCAGCAGATCTAGAGCTTTGAGCCACACTAAGGGAGAGTTTGTCCATTCCCTGCTTTGTTATCGTGTGGTCTCAGGAGATCTGAGGATGGGCTACCCTGGGGAAGAAAGCCAGCATTTCCAGAGGGCAAAAAGGTCTCACACCAAACCCCCAACAAGATGAGAACAAACTAAAACAGCCCGTAGGGCCATGTGTGTCTAACAGTACTAAGCCAAAGCCACAGCCAGGGTCAGCAACATTCAGGAAGAAGAAGGACTTTGTAGCCGGCTCTTGGGCCAGTGGTAGCAATGGGGAACATTGCCAGGTTGGGCATGTGGAAGGTTTTCTAGTACTTTGGATTAAGACAGGGTGCAGTGGTCCTGGGTTCTTCCAGTCAGACTGTTAAAAGCACATCTCAGCAGCAAGAGTTGTCCTTGTTTCTGTTGCACAGAGGTTGGTGGAAACTGGACCAGGACAGTGCGAGGTCTGTTGAACAAAGTGGGGAAGCTGCAGCCCACCTTCTTCTCGCACCCCTCATGTGAAATAGCGGCAGGGTGTGGAGTCAATGTAGCAGTACGGGGTGCACCGCAGGTCTCCGTATGACCTGAGGAGAGGCAAAAACACAGGGCATCACAGGGGACAAAGCCACATTCTAAAAGCCCATCTCTGGTGACTTCTGGTCAAGCCTTATCAAACAGTGACCACTCCTGACACCTTGCCAAGGGCTTTATAAAGACTGTTATCATTCTCTTCTGGGGTAAGGAGCTTGGGGGAGTTAAATCTAGGCCTCTGGGTTTCTTTTTTCTTTTTTTTTCCTTCCTTCTGCCTCATCTGAGGCTCTGGGTAGAAGAGGAATTAGTAACCCTGCTAATACATAGCATCTGTAGGAAAATCACCCCCTTCTCATCTCCATCCAATAGAACTTTCTGTAAGATGCAAATGTTCTATATCTGTGTTCAATATGGTAGCTGCTGTCCACATATGGCTATTAAGATTTGAAATATAGCTAATACAACTGGGGATCTTGGGTTTTTATTTTATTAACTTTTAATAATTTTAATTTAATAGCCACACATGGCTAGTGGCTATCATATTGGAGATTACAGGTCTATACCTTTGTAAACCCAAATGATAACACCATGGCAGTGTGTTCAATACACACTCAAAGACATCCCTTTGAGGCTTCTAGGGATTAGGCAGGGAGCCACATTGAGCCAGTGAACCAGCCCTACTTGGCCCTGTGTCCTTGACTGGCTGTCTATACTTGATTTCTCCATTGAGCCATAAGCCAGCTCAGACTTTCTGCCAACTCTCTGGCAGTTGCCTGTCAGGAGCCTTCCCTGCTTAAGGGAGAGGGGCAATGGACTCATCTAGGTAGGGGTTTCTGGTCAAGCCTAAACAGACTCAAGAGTGTGGAGGGTGACTACAGATGTCTACACCTACAAGCCTGGTTAGAATATGTTTGCATACATGGAGGGGCAATGAGCTGAGGAGGCCCCCTTGGAAGAGATTCCAGAGAGGGGGCAGTAGAGAGACAGGCATAATGTCTGCTCTCTCAGCCCCTGGGTCTGAGGTTATAAGAGGAAAAGTACCTGAAGCAAAAGTTGAAATTTGATTCACAAGGGACTTATGTGACCTGAGGCACCAGCGGGTCTACCCTGGAGACAAGAGTAGGGCAGGACATGGACTGGGGAAGAGGGAGCAGCCTCTATTTTTCATAGAACATTATACAACTCTGGCTCTGTGAGAACTGGGGGAAGGTGGCACCATTTTTTACTTTGAAAGAAGGACAAGAGGCCACATATTGGGCATGGAATCAGTGCCTCACAGGGGCCAGTGGCTCTCAGTTGGCATGGGAGATGTCAGTGTGGAAGCTGGGATGCTAGAATACTTGTCCTGAGCAATGTGAACACCCAACTGAGGACCCTCAATTAATTAAAGAGGTCTTTGAAGTGAGTACCAAGTTTCAGGAATTTTTCTGAAGGACTGTGAGCCAGCAAAATTAGACATTAATGCAAGTGTGGGCTCACTTGTGCCTGCAGACATGCTGGATGGGGTAGGAGTATTCTAGAGAATTCAGGTTACACAGGCATGTGAATTCTTTGAAATGCCTTGATATGTCTACACTCGACTGGGCTCCCTTCCCAGGCCCACAGAACAGGAAACCAATTGGTCATAGTAACCATTGGGACAGGGGCTGCTCACCCAGGGGCAGCAGCTGAGTTTAGAAACTACCCATCTCTCTGTGCCAGGGCAGGCCTGATGGCTGGGTCTGCCCCAGCCCAGGCAGCACAGCCACAGGCCTGGTGGCATACAGACTGCTCCGAGAGGGTACATGGTGATTATGTACTTATTGCCTGCCTCTTCCATTGAACAGAAGCGTGAGCAGGGCCGTGTCTTATTTATCACTATACCTTAGTGTCTAAAAAGCACCAGGAACATGAGACACACACAAAAGTATTTGGAAAAAAGAAGGAGGGGGGAGGGAGGCAGGGGAAAAAGAGGAAAGGAGAAGTGGCCTTTGGCCTAGGTCATAATAGCACAATGAGGCAATCCCTACCCAGGGAGATAGGTCTCGCAGGTCAGATAGCCAAAGTCAGAGCCGTCACAGTCCTCCACACCCTCATGCCGGTGACCATCTCCACAGTAGGCCCGGTGACAGCCTGAAGGGACATATGAAGTGCAGCCTGAGAAGGGGCAGAGGGACAAGCATGCCTCAGCCTGCAAGGACTGTGTGCCCAAAGGATATGCTCAGAGCACTGCACCATTGGAAAGACTGCCCTCCACAAAGTTCAGACTCATCCCAGCACTGCCCTTAGACAGATCCTGCACCCACCAGTGGTGGAAGGAGAGCAAGGAGATCCGGCTCCCGCTTGCCCTGCCGCACATTGTCAAGGGACCAGGAGCAGGCCTCTCTGAGCCCTGATGTCCTCTGCACAGAGGGCCATAGCCCTGCCTCTCCTCCCAGGACCACCATGGGGGTCCCATGAGGTGAAGGTCAGGAAGTGGTGGGCATCGGGCAGAAGTGATGACACCTGGTGACTCCTGTCTGTTAAACAGAGAGCTTCCAGGAAGAGTGACACAGGTGGGACTAACCTGTGTTTCTGGGGAGCCAGGTGACCTTCAGCAGGGGGCTTCTAGTTTCACACAAATATTGGGTGGTGTACCCTACCTTCATCCAGGGCACAGAGACCCCACTGGTTCTTTCCCACAGTGTGGCTAAGGGCAGATGGGACTCCAGGCCATGCCGGCATCCTAGAGACTGACATCCCAGGAATTCCAAGGGCATCCAGGGAAGGTGCAGCCACACGGGAAGAGAATCAGCTGCACCTGTCCCTGTCTTCACCCCCTGTGCACGCCTCCAACATGCTGCATATTCACCCTTCCCTTGAACTGCTTAAGGGGAAGGACCTGCTTGTGCATCTATACATCACCACCCTTGAGCCCAAACCTGGCTTCCATAAAACTCACTCACTGCTGAGGAGTCGGATCCGACTCATAGCGGCCCCTCCTTGGGTTTCTGAGGCGGAATCTCTACAGAAGTAGATTGCCCAATCTTCTTTCCGTGGAGTGGCTGGGGGGTTTGAACCACCAGCCTTCTGGTTAGCAGTCAAATGCCTTAGGCACTATGCCACCAGAGCTCCTAGGCTTAAAAAAAGTGCTTAAAACATAAGTCTTGAATGAATTCAACAAATGGATACCAAACTCTTATTAGACTCCAGACAATCCACACATATGTTACTAACTCATGGAATCTCTAAAGATACTGAGCAGTCAGTACTGTTGTATCCATTTTACAGCTAAGGTAACAGAGGCTCAGAGCCGTGAGTTGCCTTCCATCATCCCACTCACGCATGGAGTAGTGCCTCCTCTCTGAGCCCAAGGGTGAGGTGGTGGCTATCAGAGCCTGCATTTGAACTCTGTCTCACTCTGAAGTCTGTGCTTTCCACTTCACCTCATGCCTTTGTCACTTGATAGAAAACAAAGAAAAATGCAAGCTCTCCGGTGCTGCCTCTGCCTGGCTGTCCTGACAGGTCCCATAAGCCTGAAGGCAGCTCTGGCTGGGCCAGCAGCTGTAGTCAGAAGGACTTTGCCCCTAGAGCTCCACCTGGTAAAAGTGAGTCCCGATTCAAATCCTAGCCCTTTCTCTTTTGCATACAACAGCATCCCTTTCACCACTCCATCCAATAAAGCCACAGTCTTTTGAGCCTGGTAGTGGGTAAAGAAGTAGAACTGGGAGAAAAGGGAAGGCCTGGTGGCTCTACTCTGTGGGACAAGGCAGCCCTCTCTGGGAACAAGATACTTGACATACCCTGGCTCCATTGATGACCTTGGGTGGTGAAAGGAGTTAGACTTTGCCCTGAATTATGAGGGATGGGGGACCCTCCGGCCCTGGAACTGTTTCAAACCACTACAGCTGATGTCCAGGGCTCTGACCCCCAACCCCATGGCTGTTCAGGCTTCAGGCCCTCCAAGGCTGGGTCCTACTCACTGATGCAGTCGTCACCCGTATCATCATTGGCATCATCACACTCCTCCCCGGGCTGCAGGACCCCATCCCCACAGGCGCTACGATGGTCTACAGTGTAATCCACAGGGTAGAAAGGGGTCAACTGGCCAAAAAAAACAAAAACAAAAACAAAACAAAACACACACACAACAGTTACTGGGGGATGCTGCTAAGGAGGAAGGCCATTGGCCCTAGGGGCAGATATACCTTGGATCTAGGGGACAATACTGGGGGTTTGGCTTTCTGGGACCTCTTCAGAACCTCCTCCTCCAGGTTGGGAAAGGCACTTCTTTCCTGTTGCCCAGAGCTCTGTAGATGGCAGGAATGCTGGGCCAGATCAAGATGGCAGTCTAGCAGTTTGGGGATGTAAAGACAGTTTGGATCTTTGGGTATGGGCCTTTCTCACCCAGAGGCTCAGAAAGGAAGCTCTACTGGGACAGTTGCTCAGAAAAAGTGTGATGGAGGATGCTTAGCTCTTCCATGGAAAAAGGCAAAAAACTCTGCCCCTGGGGCCCAGCTGTTTGGCCTTCCCTTTATTGTTTGTGTCCCTTTTGTGCATAGGGTGGTGTGAGAAAGGTCCTGAGGTGTCCTCCTTGGGGTACCTGGATGGGGAGCCAGCCAAGGCTGTCTTTGAAGTACAGAGATCTCTGGTCTCTACGGAAGGCAATGGCATTTTGGGTGTTCAGACTCTCAAGCTCTTTTTGATTGTTGACCACAAAAATCTGCCAAAGAACACATTGGTGAGGATTCCAGAAAACACTTCTAGAACAGGTAGGTAGAAGGCTGGAGGAAGAAACAGAATTTCTGTTCTTGCACTGGTTAACATTACCCACTAAAGTTCCTCCTGAAATGCGGAGAAATGTCTTGATTCTCCTACTTTCTCAATCCAGTTCCAAATGTCAGAGTTTGATATAAAAAATGTCTTCTGTGATTTAAAGTTTTTAAGTATTTTAAATGTTCCCAACACTTAATAAATAACAAGGTGATGTCATCTAATCAAGTAATTCAACATCTGGAAATGATCCTAACAAAATTTTTACACTCGAAGATGTTCATTACAGTATTATGTATATTAATGAAAAGGTTGAGAGGACCCTATTAATACCCCACAGTGGGGCAGTGGTTAAATAAATTATAGCACAGCCATACCCTGATTATGCATCCATTTAAATTATGTTTGTGATGAACTGATGTCCAGGATTTACTTCATAATCCAAGGGATGGTGGGCAGTAGTGGGTGTCCAAACCAAACCCACCACCACTGAGTCAATTCCAACTCATAATGACCCTATAGGACAGAGTAGAACTGCTCCATAGGGTTTCCAAGGCTGTAAATCTTTATGGAAGCAGACTGCCTCATCTTTCTCCCATGAAGCAGCTCTTGGGTTTGAACCACCAACCTTCTGGTCAGCAGATGAATGCCTTGACAACTGCACCACCCGAGCTCTTTAGTAGTAAGTATACACGTAAACAGAAAACAAGGAAACAAAATTAGCTAGCCATGAGTTGATTGTTTTTACCTGAAGGGAATACACAGGCTCATTACACTATTTGCTCTGCTTTTGTATTTATTAGAAATTTTCTTTAACAACAAATTTAAAATTATATTTAAAAAGAGATACTTATAAAGATTTTAATGGAGACAACTAGGGTACAACATTTTTATACAATATAATTGCAACCATGTAAAAAAATATTCTTTAAAAAGATAAAATACCCCCAAAGTGGACCCACAACCAAATGGAAAATTTGGTTTTCTTCTTTTGATTTTCTGATTTCCTATAATGGCTGTGTACTCAGTATAACGAGGGAAAGTTAATTTTACTAAAAAGAGTTTACAAAGATGTAAGAGGATCAGGTGGTAGGTCCTTCCTGATAACCACACCAGATTTTGCCCAGAAAAGCCTTACCACAGGAACTCGTGGGGAACTGGACCCATACATGGATTCCCCGTAGGAAGGGTTATTCACACTCATGGGCGGTCCACACAGACATCTTCCTGGAGGCCCGGGAAATCCTCTTTCCCCTTTGGGTCCCATTATAAGTTGTCCTAGGAAGCAACAGACTGCTGTGTTACTAGAGCCAAAGAAGAGAAAACCAAACAGCCCAAGGAGATGCGAGCAAGCTTTTTAACAGAAAGATGGTTAGAGTCCACAGCATTTCAGAGTAAGCCTGAAGGAGAGAGGGTCAGAGAGAGGCTTTTGATTCAAGACAGGGAGTAAATGTTGTGTAGATCTCTTAATTACACTGGGTGGGTTGCATGATTATTCCCAGGCCTCTTTCTCCTTTACTTTTATTTTAAAGACTAACTGGATAGATAGTTCCGTTTCCAGACTCCCTTGCAGCTAAAGGTGACCAAGTACCACAGTTCTGGCAAATGCAAGGTCTGCAGTTGGGGAAGGGTAGTCATCTGGGAAAGTTTTCACTGAGAAGGAGAGAAACACAGCTGATGGGATACATAGCTCTACTCCTTCGAGCCTTGAAAACAGATAAAATGTCTGGTGTTTCAGGCAACTATGAAGCCATAAGTATGAGAAGAGAAACGAATATGTCAGCAAGACAGGGGCTCATGGATTCTGGGGTCCTGATAGTGACACTTAGAGGCTGAACCAAAAGCAGCTGCTGTCACCTCTGGACTTCCCTGTGATACAACAAAACTACCCTCTATTTGTTTAGACCATCATTAACAGGGGCTCCTTGCAGATGAACACATTTCTGACTAATAATATTTATTGGTTTTTATTCATTTTATTTTGTTCTTCTTATATAATGGATTTTACAGAGGAATTTCTGAGTGGGTTTCTTTGGTTATTTTTTAAAGAAAATGCAACATTTGTAAATGCTTAGCCCACTTACTCTCTCCTGATACAGAAAAAAGTCAGAACATGTCCCAGAGTGATATGAACAGAAAATACCTGCAATGTGGGGGCCCTCTGAAGTGGTAGTTCTCACTTTGACTTTTAAGGTCCAGATGTCCAGGCCATACCACAGACAAATTCTATTAAGATTTTTGGGACTAGGTCCCAGGCATCCATATCTTTAAAGCTCTCAAGATGATTGCAGTGTGCGCCAAAGTTGAGAGTCACTGGTCTGGGGAAACGATCTTTCCATAGGCCACTCTCCTTCAGACTGTCCTCCCCTTCACCCTCCACCTCTCCTTGCCAGTACCTCCTAACTCCCTTCTGATCTGGGCTCAAACATCACTTCCGTAGGGAAGACTTTTTGGGTCTTCACATTTCCATGTTCATCTTGGGAAAAATTTCATAGATCCCTATGCCTTTTCTTTATGTACTTACATGTTTATGACTCTACATAGCAAGGTCTCTCTCCCTTGGTAAAATGTAAGTTCCGTGAGGACAGGGCTTGTGTCTGCTTTTACTCACCACTGCTTGACACACCATAGAGGTATTGTATGTGTTTGATGATTGAATGACTGAATGCAGACGAACTGGAGAGACAAGGTCTGTGGAAAAGTCTAGGAGTCACCCTCTCATCAGTAGAAAAAGAATAAAGCAAGAACTATCCACGAGGAAAAAAGAAGAAAAGATGGATACTACGAAAGGAAACAAGCAGTGGTGTCATTAGGAGGATGTGGGCGGAGAGACCACCACTGTCAGAGGAAGTGAAACCGAAATGACTATCCATAAAATTTTTGTGCAGTGTTTCAGCAAAAAGGTATTATTTTTTATTTAAAAAAATCCCTGTAGTTAGTTATAATAAGAAAAACATTTTTCATATGCCCAGTTTACATGTATCAATATATCTTCAAGGCTAAAATTCTTTGCTAATTTACTTTTTGAACCTTCCAGTGAGTTGTCAGAGCTATCATTATTACTCAATTACAGCGATGCTCTGAATCACGTGGTTTCATTTGCACTCACTACAAGCACGTGCTGTTGTTTTCATTGCTGCCAGTGTCTCTATACTCACTGATTTTGCCAAATTTTCTGATGTTTTGGATACAATATTGTGGTAACTAGTGTTCGTGGGCCTATACAAAACCAAACCAAACTCACTGCTGTCAAGTGATCCGACTCATAGCGACCCCTCCTTGGGTTTCTGAGGTGGTATCACTACGGAAGTAGATTGCCCAAACTTCCTTTCGAGGAGTGGCTGGTGGGTTTGAACTGCCAGCCTTCTGTTAAGCAGTCAAATGCCTTAGGCACTATGCTACCAGGGGCTCCTTGTGGGCCTGTATCAATAACTTTTTTGAGAATGAAGAAATAAAAAGAAAAGGAGAAAAATCAAAAAAGGCTCCTGTTTGGTTGCTAATAATGTGGTAACTATTAATGTTGTAATTCAAAGCAGAAAGATTTTATAAAACAAATTTGTTGTTAGTATTCATACAATCTAAGAAATACTGCATTTAAGCAACTTACAACTATATTTATCACATATTCTTCTATGATTTAAATTTATAATAGAGATTACTAAGTGTTCTATATGGTCTGGTTTGGGAGGAGGTCAGGGGGGTGACACCAACCCTAGTGACTCCACTGTAACCACTGTTAATAAGTACCTCTCCTCCTGAATAAGGGGACTTCGAATACCAGCCAGTCATTGATTTCCAGGCAATGACAAGGCAGGTCCTATGGCATGTGAGGGCATCCAACAACTGGAGACAAGATATAGGAATCCCAGAGGGGCAGGAAATAACATGACCCTAGGAGAGACGTCTGGTCAGGACCCAGAGAAGCACCTGCAGCTGGAGGAGGAGACCCCAGGGGAGAGGCCCCACACCCTGAGGCCTCCCAAGCTATTTTACTATTGCATCCAAAATCAGAAATGCTGCTGACATGAGGAGGAGGGAGGTTTGCCAACTTCTCATACCAAATTATAGTTGTTTGTTCTAACAGAAAATATGAATACAATTCCATGGAAAAAGTTCCAGTCTTGTGTTTCTGATATTTTCAGAAAAGCCTGGGGAGACAGAGATTCCTGGGAATATTCCAGGTAATCAGCACCTGGGGAAACCCAGGTAAGCAAGGAAATGAGATTGGCACTGGAGCAGCCTTCTAGAAGGTTCTGTGACTCCAACTCCTTCACTAGAACCAAGGCCTCAAAGATATACCAGAGTTTGTCTGGTATGCTCCAGTTAATTAGTGGTGAGGTTGAGAATTCATGTTTGACTTAACATTATGCCGTTCAAAAGGCAAATGTCCAAGAATACTGATGCTCTCAGGAAGCTGGTAATTCCCAGGTACCACTCTGATTCACTTATACCCAGTCTGGGTGCAGGAAGCACTCAGCTAAATTTGTGATTTGATTATTGCAAATTAAATCCTCAAGGCATTTTGTCTTTATCCCCTCCTGTAGCCCTTCTTTCCCTATAACAAGTTATTAAACAGCTCCCTCCCTCCACATTCCCCAGTACCACCAGGCTCCAGTACTGGGCACCAGAACCAGGGTGGCCTCTGACAGGGCAGCTGCTCTCTGCCACCAGTACACCTTTCCTGCTGCTTCCTCCCAGTTATCAGAAGGCATCCCTTACCCTTGCTGGTTTCTTGCGCAGCTGCACTAAAAGGCACAGCCACCCAAATTTCCCCACCAAGGCCTCTCTGAACTTATCTCACAGGTCTGGCCCCATCACCACCCTGCAGCCAGTAAGCCAGCTCTCCATCTCTATTAGGGAGTCTCCACTCACCCTTGGCTGCAGTCAGGAGAGGGGAGTCTGGGAGGAGACAGAAGAGCCTGGATACAACTCTCCAGGCAGCCCTTGCTTCTGCTCAACTCCTGCAAGGGCTGTGTGGCCAAGGGGAAGTTCGCAGCACCAGGTGTCATAGATTGATTCTGGACCAGATGTGACTATATGCCTCAGTATTCTCTGTGACTTCTCTGGGGCTCAAGGTACTTATTCATTAATGAAGAGTTAGACTAGACTAGGGGAGTTTACCCTGTGCTCTACAGACCTGAGACTACACCAAGATGGGGTTCTGGAACTCTGTGAAATAAGGTGTGGGGTCTTGAGTGTAAACCAAACCAGTAGCCATCAAGCTGACTCTGGCTTATGGAGACCCCCTGTGTGTCAGGGTAGAACTGTGATCCATGGAGTTTTCAACAGTTGATTTTTCAGAAGTAGATCCCTAGGACATTCTTCTGAGGATCCTCTGGGTGGACTCAAACTTCCAACATTTCAGTTAGCAGCTGAGCACATTAACTGTTTGTGCTACCCCGGAGCAGGATCTTTAGTGCATCTCTCTCTCTCTCTTTCTCTCTCTCTCTCTCTCTGTATACATATATATTTTTTTTTTCTTTCTTTTTTTCACTATATGTATAACCTAAAACCAAACCCACTGCCATAGAGTCAATTCCAATTTACAGTGACCCCCAAGGCTGTAAATCTTTACAGAAGCCGACCACCTCATCTTTCTTCTGTGGAGCAGCTGGTGGGTTCAAACTGTCAACCTTTTGGTTATCACTCCAATGCCTCTACCACAGTACTACCAGAGCTATACACACACACATATATAAACATACATACATACATACATTTATATATATATATATATAAAACAAACTCACTGCCATCGAGTTGGATCTAACTCACAGCGACCCCTCCTTGGGTTTCCAAAGCAGTATCACTATAGAAGTAGATTGCCCAATCTTCCTTCCGAGGAGTGGCTGGTGGGTTTAAACCGCCAGCCTCATGGTTAGCAGTCAAAAGCCTTAGGCATTATTCCCCCCAGGAGTGTATTTGGGGCTTTTATCACATTCTCAAAGTCTCAGGATTCTCTTTCAGGGTCTGTTTTGACTCTAGATAATTGATTTTCTGACTGGTGGCAGAGAAGGTCTCTTTTAAATTCCTTCCCCTTCCACTCCTTAACACTATCCCCTGCTCCAAGACCTTTCCAAAGAGCAGGATTATTGTGCAGTTTTGCCTCTTTCCCTACTCAGCCTCCTCCACCAGGGAGCCTCCTCCCCCAGGGAGTCTCCTCAGAAAGGAAGTAACCCAAAGAAGGCACATCAGTCCAAAGAGAAGTCTGTGTACTGCTTGGCTGCTCTGGCAATACCCAGCTCAGAAGACACTGTGAGCCAAGGCACCCCTTGCCCATGAGCCCATGCTGGATGCCATAGTGGTATGGAGCTGATAGCCACCAACCCTGCCCTCAAGGAACTTGGCATCTAGCAGGGAGTTGAAACACACCTGCAGACATAGTTACCAGTGGAGAGGCCATAAAAGATGTGCAATGTGTGACGGAGGTTCAGGGATGGAGCCTTGTCCAGTTAGGGGGTCAAAGAAGGCCTTATTGATAAGGAATAGTATATAAGGCCAAATGTATAGCACAGCCTTGTGGATCCAGAGACACAGTGGGAAGATGTTTCAGCTTGGTGGAGACCTGAGTGGACACTGGAGGACAGTGGGTGGTTTGCCTGGGATATGGCAGTGGATAGGGAAAGAAGGAAGAGTAGAGGGAAGAAGGAGGAGAGGCAGTAGGTGGTTAGGAAGATGAAGGGGTCGGGGGAAGAGGATGTGGGTACAATGAGGAGGACCTGGAAGGCCAAAGAAAGCAAATAGGATGATGCTAGGCTAAACTAAACTGGTAAGATTCAATATTCTGGAGATGGGCAAGACAAAACAGTGGGCATCTGAGTGAGCTACTGACTTTCCCCAGGCCCTGCTCTTCTCATTCAATCCCAGGTTCCAGGAAGGAACCAGAACCCAGGTCAGATGAGGACATCAGGACAACTTTAACAAATAAGCACAAGAAGACCGTTAATGTCTCAATTTCTTGCAGACCTTTCTGAACCTCTATCTCACCCTCTGCTCCCTAATTGCTCAGTTTTATGAACCCCCAAGAACCCATGGGCCAAGAGAGTCCCTGTCCAAAGGTAAAACCCAGGCTTCAAGCTACAATCTCAGTTGCTGGCTTCAACCGCTCATGATCACAGAGCCCAGGGACTTTATATTTGTCAGGGCCTTGAAGGGTGAGCGCCAGCTGGAAGGACCCCATCTGGATCATCCAGCCAAGTCCCACAAACAGATTATGGAGTGCAGACACATGGCCTCAGCTACGCCGCAACTCTAGTTCCCTTACCAAAATGGGATTAGGTGCAGCAAGATAATTTACATACTACTTGATATTTGCTCTCCCGGTGTTTCCTACTCCCTCAATTTCAAAGAGGTAGCCAGATTTTGTGCTTTCTTGCCCTTACTGAAAACAGGTACTATTTGAAGACCTCCTTGCCTTTTTGCCTTCTATTCTCAGGACAAAGGAGTGGTGGTGACTGAGGAACATGAGGAGGGAGGGGGTGGGAGGATGGAACAGAGAGGTATTTCCCCAGACATGGAGGAGAATTCTTCAAGGGAAAGGGATTCGTTATCCTGGGAAGGAACAAGGTCTCAGAAGGGATGGTTGTGGGGTTCTCCTGGGGAAGTCAGATCATGGGACCAGGATCCTCAGCCTTGGAAATGTTCTGGAATCCAAGCATGGGATGAGGACTCTGGTCTCCAGTATCCAGGACCACATGAATATGGACAACAAGCATTTAAAGGTAAATAGGGTAGATCAAAGGCTGAGGGACCTCCCTGGATGTTTTCTCTCATTATTCTTTAGGCTCTTTGCCCAACCCTTTGGGGCAGTTTGGAGAAGTGGAGAGAACCCTAATAATCCCTCAAATTGCATTTTCCTGGCACTCTGGCAAGTTAGAGTCTCAGAGTCAGCTTTAATTTGGTTTAAAATTTGATCTAAAGCAATGACTTCTTGTGTCCATCCCGTGTGGTTGCAGATATGTTCCTATTAACTTGGAGTGGGGGGAAGCGTAGTGTGGAATTTTAAAAATTTCTCCATTTTCTCAAGAAAAAAGTTAGAATAAAATAGTTTTGAAGTCAAGGAAAGGTTTCTATATGGAAGGAAATTTTCTTTGTTGGTTACCAGGGGTGGGAAGGGAGGGAAGGGAACACTGTTAGATAGGCAGAGACAAGTATTGATTTGGGTGAAGAGAAAGGCAATGTACCAAATGTGAGTGATCAACACAGTGGCTTTGAGGAAGAGGAAGACATACAGAGGTGCATGGGAGGTATAGACAACAAAGATGAACCCTTTTGCACATAGAGTACTACGTTGTCAGTGATGGCAAACATTGAAAAAAAAACAAAAAACATTGAAAACAAAAAACGGGTGGATAGATGGGTGGACAGACTGAACTATTAGGTGTATCTATGCAGCAGGGAATGTGCCCATGATCATATAGGGTTGGCAGACAATGTTTCTACAACTGTATTTGTACGTTCTATAAGAATTTCCAGGTATATAGTAGAGCTGACAAGGGAGAAGGTTGTAGTCACTTCTTGGCCACAGTGAGCTACCCAGGGGGAGTGAGTAGTTGGACCTGTGGGCTCAGAACCATAGTCACAGGAGACATCAAGCTCAACTGGCGTAACATACTATACAAAAACATTGTTCCACATCCTACTTTGGTGAGTAACAACTGGGATCTTAAAAGCTTGCAAGTGGACATCTGGACATAGGATTTGTCTCTTCTTCTCCAGAGCAAAGAAGAATGAAGAAAACCAAAGATAGTCTAAGGGACTGTTACACCATGCAATCCTCAGCCTGTACTACTATGAGATCAGAAGAACTAGATGGTGCCTGGCTACTACTGTCAACCACTTGGAGGGAGATCTTTGTAGGAGATCCTGGATAGAGTGGGAGAACACTGTGGAATAAAACTCAAAATTATTAAAAAAAAAAAAAAAAAAGGTACCAGGTTTGCTGGTCTGATAGAGCCTGGTGGAACCACTGAGACTATGGCCCTTAGCTGCCCTTCAGGTCTGGAATTGAACCCACTCCTGTGGCTTCCAGCCAAACAGAAGACAGGCATATGAGCTGAACCTTTACATTAGGTAGATACACTCCTTGGAGAGATCAATCATGGGAGAATAGAAGGGCTGTGTACGCACAGGAAGACAGCTTCGGGAGTGGGGAGGGGGGTGGCAGGAGTGCTTGGGAGGCAAGGAAACAGGAGAGAGGTAACCATGGGAAGGAAGTGGGAGGGGAGCTGTTGCGTTTTGGGAAATTACAGTCGATGTCATGAGACAAAGTGTATGTGAGCTGCTATATTGGAAGTGACTTTGCTCTGTAAACTTTCACCCAAATCACAATAAATTTAAAAAAAAAAAAAACAAGAGAGGCAAACTAAAAAAAAAAAAAAGTTTTGATTCCTTTCACATAACTGAAAACAAAACAAAAAAATTTTACACAGTGAGTGAAGAGTATTCTTTAACTTACAAGTACTGTGCTTCAGATGATATATAAAAACTTCCTTTGAACTGACAAGGAAATAAACTAAATAAATGGCTCCTACACAGTCCCCAACTGTGTCAGTAGAACTGTGCTCCATAGGGATTACAATGGTTGATTTTCAGAAGTAGGTCATAGTAGTAAGTAGAATGTAACTATCCCCTCTGCAAGTGGTTGATTTTGATTTTTTTTTCTTGTTTTTAATTTCTTTTTTTGTGATTTCTTTCTATATTCAATGCAAATAAATAAATACTTTCATAATATGAGAGATAGATAGATAATAAGATAGAAAAATCTGCAATGTCATCTTTAGTTCTAGGTATAAGAGAATTGCTGGAGCCATGAAACATGTTTTTTTTTTTTTTTCTAGAAAGAGGTGTTAGTTAGTAAAACATGTACCTGTTATTTTTCACCTAAGCTATAAATGACATGAACAATACAATTTTTTTTTTCTTTTCCCTTCCTCTATTTGTTCTCCAAAATGCTGAAACAAAGCCAGAATGATGTTTATCTCTCTTGTATAAAAGTTGAATGAGCCAAATTGTGGAGAAATTAATAAGGAATTAAAGTGCCTCTGGCAGTTTCTAACTAATAAACACAAGGCAGAGCTCTGTTCCCAACTCCTTGTGCCCTCTCTGGGGATACTGGCCAGGAGGGTGAAGCTGTAGATCAGATGAAGCAGTGTAGTTCTTACCTGCAGCTGGGGGGCCTAGAGGTCCTGGGGGTCCTGGAGGGCCAGGTTGACCAGCAGGTCCAGGCTTGCCTGGAGGGCCCATAACTCCACTATCTCCCTTCTGTCCCTGATGAGGAGAAAGGCAGAGGCTGTTACAATAATCAGTTGTGTGATAGCATGCTATGGCAAACTTCTTTCTCCTTTTGTGTCTAATCAGGGGCCATGTTGCACTTTGGGGCCAGAGCCCAGGGCAGGATACAGCCCTGAAGTCTTGACCACCATGCTCCTAAAAAGCTCAGGGAAAATGATATTTGCAATAGTGATAGCTGATTGCAAGTTTTCAAACCCTACTTCCTGCTTTATTCTAGAAACATGGCACATAACAGCTGAAAGGAGCCAATTTACTCCACCCTCCAGTCCTTCTGGTAGATGAGGAAATGAGCTCAGAACTGGGGATTTACTCAGGTCACTGCGCATTGAGGTGGCAGAGTAGGGCTTGGAACTCAGGCCTTGTGCTTGCTTGTCAGGACCATTTCTATTTCTCTGCAAGGATTGTTCCCACTCGTTGGCCTCTCCTTGCTCCTGCGTAAAGATCCAGCTCTGGCGTTCAGCCCATAAAACCTTACATGGCCATGCTTTCCAATCCTTTCCAGCCTCCCTGGACCTCTTCTCTGGGCTCCAACTACATTATCTTCTTGTAATGCAAGAGCACCATGCCTCTTATCTCTTTCTCAAGACTCTTCCCTCTGCCTAGTTAACTGCCACCCCACCCCCCATCCTTCAGCTCTCAGCTCCAACGAACATTGTTGCCTCCACAAAGACTTCCCTGACCTCTCCAGACTGAGTTGATTCTCCCCTCATAGACTTTCGTAACTCAACCCTTTTCCTTCACAGCACTTATCCCAAATCATAACTCTATGATTATTTGTACGATCATTTCATGCAAGTCTCAGCATGAGATGTAAGCACCCTGGCAGCTAGAATCTGTCTTGTTCACCTCCCTTCCCTAGATCAAATGAGGAAGGGAGAAAAAGCTGCAAACACAAAGGGGAGATGGCATTGTTGAACCATAAATCAAGGGATCTGAATTTTCACTTTGGCCACAAGACCCTCAGTAAATGATGTCATCTTTTTGTGCCTTGGCTTTCTTGGGTATAAAGTGGGGCTGGTAAATACAGATTCCACATAGATATGTTGTGAGGCTTAGAAAGACTTCAGAGGTGAAGAAGAGCTTTGCATAGACTGAAGACTTCTGGGAGACAAGGGAGTTACCCCACTAACTGACTTGGTGCCATCTTTTTCATACTTTTCAAGAAGTCCTGCTTTCTTAAAGAGAGGCATACCTGCAGCTATAGCCATTCCACACAGGGTATCTTCTTAGCTGCATCAAGAACAACTGTTAAGCTCTTAGCTTTCTTTCTCCTTTAGGCTACCTTTGGAAGTGACCCTAGAAACCAAGGCTGAGTGTACTCTGTAGCTTCTGTCCCAGAACAATTTGCTAATTGTCCACTCTTGCCCCATGTGTAACCAGGATAGTGATTGATGCTGACATCTTTGGCCTGGATCCCTTGTCTACATTTGTGCTTTGGCAGGCTTGCACACCTGATGAAATACAATCTTCTTTGAGTCTGAGGAGCAGGTGTGCCAGGGACTCTTTCCAATCCCAATGGTGACATGTGACCTACCTTGTCAACATGGCCCTGGGAGCCCTCTTGGCTGTGTCCAAGGAGCTCTTAAGTTGTTAATATGGCACATGGGAGGACAGAGTTTGTTTCCATTTCCACCCTTATGGAGAGACTCTGCAAGCCTTAGGCCAAGTTGAAGCATTCCAGGAGATAACCAAGGCAGGTCCCAGAACAGCAAAGGAAGTCACACGTCTTAATATAGCCATGGTTAAGGATTGTTTTCCTAATAGCTGTGTCAGCTGGCTGTAAGCACAGGAAGTGCTAAAGCTTGAAGAAGCTGGAAATGCTCTTTGATTCAAACATAAGGAGTACTGGAATATTCTGCTTATTGGTCATCTGCTCAGGACGAACAATGTCTCCATGAGCAGGTCTCCCATTCCCTGAGCAGTACTTTCCAGGAAAGGCATTTTTTATTCTTTACTTGCCACAAAGTTAGGACATTTCCCTCAGGGAGTTTGATCAGTCTCCTTAACCAAAAGTCTTTATAATAAAGTCAATAGCTGCTTTGCTAGGCCTACCTGAAGGTAAATCCTCAAGCATGAAGGTGATATAGAGGAGATGTGTGGTATGGAGGAGAGTAGGGAGCTCTGGTGGCACTTGACTGCTAACCAGAAGGCTGGCAGTTCAAATCCACCAGCCACTCCTCGGAAGGAAGGTTGGGCAATTTACTTCCGTAGTGATACCGTCTCAGAAACCCAAGGAGGGGTAGCTATGAGTTGGGGGCCGACCAATGGCACATAACAACATAACAACAACAACATTTAAGCTGTACCCTGGCTTTGAAGCTGGCTTGGCTGAGGGGTCTGGGGCTAGTCACTCCATCTTTCTAGCCCTCACTTTCCATGTGAATGAATTGATGGGATTGGATTAGATGGTCTCTAAGATGCTTCTGAGGGAGTTCTGGTAGCATAGTGGCTAAAGGCACTTGACTGCTAACCAGAAGGCTGGTGGTTCAGACCCACCAGCCACTCCTTGGAAAGAAGATGGGGCAATCTACTTCCATAGTGATACTGCTTCGGAAACCCAAGGAGGGGTTGCTATGAGTCGGGTCCGACTCGATGGCACATAACAACAACAACGAGATCCTTCTGAAGGACCTCTGGTGGTGCAGTGGTTAAGGCATTTGGCTGCTAACCAAAATGTTGGTGGTTCAAACCCACCAGCTGCTCTGTGGGAGAAAGATGAGGGAGTCTGCTTCCATAAAGATTTACAGCCTTGGAAACCCTAAGGGGGTTGCTATGAGTCAGAATTGACTCAATGGCAGTGAATTTGGTTTGGTTTGAAAGATCCTTCTGAGTGCGCTGGTAGTTCAGTGGTAGAATTCTCATCTTCTGTGTGGGAAACCTGGGTTCAATTCCCAGCCAAGGCATCTCTAGCACAGCCACCACTCATCTACTAGTGGAGGCTTGCTTGTATGTTGCTGTGATGCTGACCAGGTTTCAGCAGAGCTTGCAGACAAGGATGGGCAAGGAAGAAAGGCCTGGCAGTGTATTTCTGAAAATGAAAACTCTATGGATCACAACTGTCTGCTCTGCAACGGAGCAGCATTTCATTCTGCAGTGCATGGGGTCATCATGAGCCGAGAGTCCACTCAGTAACAGCTAACAACAATAACAAGATCCTTCTGATTCTGAAATTTTAATTTCCTATAGTTCCTTCTGCTTTTCCTCTGATTCCAGGCTTTGGACTGACTTAAAATAACCTCCAGAAACTCTTAGTACCACTCGTCCAACCAACACTCAATATATAAAACTCCACTCTCAGAAAATAGTTCATGATAAAATGGCAGTCTTGCAAAACCAACAATTCAAGTAAGTGCTGACAAGAATGGAGCAGAGGGTTGGGAGCACATATGGGTTGTTGATAACGGCTTATAGAAAGGATAAGCTCATTTTCTAAACTTTTTGGAGCTCCTAGACATGGTTCTGTTTAGCTTTTATTTTATTTTATTTTATTGTAATTTGGGTGAAAGTTTACAGAGCAAATTCACTTTCCATATAGCAGCTCACATACACTTTGTCTCATGACATTGACTACAATTTCCTACACTGCAACAACTCCCCTCCTACTTCCTCCCCACAGTTACCTCTTCCCTGTGTCCTTCTCACCTCCCACCTCCCCGCCAAGCTGTCTCCCTGTACATACACAGACCTTCTATTCTCCAATGATTGGTCTCTCCAAGGAGTGTATCTACCTATTGTAAATGTTCAGCTCATATCCCTGTCTTTTGTCTGGCTGGATGCCATAGGAGTTGGTCCAGTTCCAGACCTAAAGGGCAACTAGGAGCCATAGTCTCAGTGGTTCTACCAGGCTCTATCAGACCAGCAAACCTGATACTTTTTTTTCTTTTAAATAACTTTGAGCTTTGTTCCACATTGTTCTCCCACTCTATCTAGGATCTCCTACATAGATCCCCCTCCCAGTGGTTGACAGTGGTAGCTGGCACCATCTAGTTCCTCTGGTCTCATAGTCATATAGGCTGAGGATTGCATGGTATACCAATCCCTTGGACTAATTATTTCCATGTGTCTTTGGTTTTCTTCATTCTTCTTTGTTCTGGATGAGGGGAGACCCATCGTTGCATCTAGATGGCTGCTGGCAAGCTTTTAAGATCCCAGTCGCTACTTGCCAAAGTAGGAGGTGGAACAATGTTTTTGTGCAGCATGTTATGCCAATTGAGCTTGATGTCCCCTGCAACCATGGTCCTGAGCCCACAGGTCCAACTACTCATTCCCTCTGGGTAGCTGGCTATGGCCAAGAAACTTGCCCCTTGTCAGCTCTACTATATATGTGGAAATTCTTACAAAACAGACAAATACACTTGTAGAAACATTGTCTGCCAACCCTATACGCGATCATGGGCACACTCCCCCCTGCATGGACATACTTCTGTGTAACTTTTAAGATTGACCCAACTGAATCACTGTCAGCATAGTCAAGAAATAGCCTTCCTGGCTTCAGTCCTCACTGGGAAAAGGCAAACATTGACCAAGAAAAGAACTAGAGGACAGTAGTCAACTGCCTTTTTGAAGCCCAAGCAGGAAACAATTCTGGATGGAAATCCAGAGGAGAGAAAATGATTTTAAAAAATAAAATTTCCTTTACATCTTCCACTGGAGTGAAATATTGTGACTTCAAAAGTTATTATGGAGTCTGAATTACCCAGGTTGGAGCCTGTGTCATTTCTAAGTTTATTTGATAAAGACCAGTGTTGGCTTCATAGTGTTCCCATGGTTCTGAACCCTGGCTGCACATTAGAATCATGTGGAGAGCTTTCAAAAACACAGTACCCCATGCTGAAGTTCCATGCCAGGTGAATTACATCAGAATCTTTGGAAAATAAATCCTAGGCATTGATGACTAGAGAGACAAACATAACCCGCAACCATTCCACACAGAAGACAGAATCTGTTGAACCATCCCTCTAGAGTCTTCTTATATAAGCTAAAGTTTGAGGATCACTAATTTCTCCTAAGAAAATAATTATAGGAATGGAAAAACTTTGTGCACAAATACCTCTCAGCATTACAATTTGGTTAGTCCTTTCTTGCCCAAGCAATCTACTGTTTATTCACTTATTAAACATGATGCAGACATTTAAGTTGTTTAAAAGGTTTATGAGTATCTATAGTATAATTAAAAATGTGTTTATTGTGATTTTAAGATATAATAATTGTATGTAGAATATAGAAGAAGCAACTAGAATGTACACAAAGGAAATAATAACAAAGAAAATATACTAAACGGTATCAGTGGTTATGCCTGGGTATTAGGTCTCTAGAGATTTCCCCTCTGTTTTTCTAAATTTTCCAAGTTTTCTGTAATGAGTGTATTACAGGTATATAGAAGGGGTTGGGAACAAAAAAATAAAATAAAACCAACCAAACAAACAAAACCCCAACAAATCAACAACGAAGATGTAAAAGGACACATCTTCTCTCAGGAATGCCCATTCATTAAGGCCAGAATTTTCTCTGGGGCACTCAACACAGCTCTAAAGCCAGCCGAAGCAAAGGGCCTTCACTCTTTCCTCCCCCATCATGTCACATAGCTTAGCACCAGTGACTGCTGGCCAGGGGGAGTTCAGCACCAAATTTCCCTCAAGCCTTAATAGTGCCAATAAGAGGGTTACTTACAAATTGGGGGCCTATGTGAGGGGCAATTCAAAGCATCCTATTGTTGAAACCCAGAAGACCCTTCAACTTCAGGGAAATGTCTGGGCTGTTCTCCAAAACTCCATTTGTATCTAGGACATTGAGGCAAAAGCAGATTTTCTAAGTAAATGACCGGCTCTGGCTTCCATTTCTAGTTGCTTTGCTTAAAATAGACCTGTTCTTACAAACCAAAGACCCACTCTAGCTTCTGGCCTTGGACACACTTTGAACACAGCATCCTGTCCCATCTGCCTGAAACTGTAGCAAGTCTAGAGAAGCCAGCAACTCCTGGAAGTGGTGCTGCCCCTGCCCACCAGCCCAAAGGTCCCTAGAAGCTAGGTCTATGGTATGTCTCAGATTACCCCCATTTGCCTGCCCCTCTCCACATCCCCAGGTCATTAGATTTGACCTCAAGAAAGTAGTAAGCTCTGGGCTCTTACCTGCTTGCCTCTTTTTCCTGGTCTTCCTGTGGGGCCCCGGTGTCCTGCTAGCCCAGGTTCACCCTTTGGACCCATTTCACCCTGGAAAGAAGAAAGAGTGGAATTAGGACGTGTGTGTTTGCGTGTAGGTGGGTGAGTAGGGGGGTATCTATATCTATTCAGGTCAATCCGATCATTGATCAGGAGAGTAGTCTACTTGATCTTCAAAATCTTTTCCAAAAGGGCTGCTCTGGAGGTGAGGACAGTGATAAGGTCCTGTGAAGGGTGGATAGTTTTTCAAAGAAGAGTAAGGCTAGGAGAAGGCAACCCTTGGTTGGTTAGTTACTACCTGAGAGAGACAACACATAATTTGGGGGCCAAAACTAGAGAGACAACTCACCATCCAGAACAGCCAAAATGGAAGCCTTGTGTGTTTCAGCATTATGTGTGGCTGTGACACTACAAGCTCTCTGGGGGATGTTTTCTCTTTTAGTTGAAATGTAATGTTTTTTTGTTTTGTTTCATTTTGTTTTTAGCAAAATTCAGATCTATGGGTTTTTGAGTGATTCGTCACAGTTTTGACAAAGATCAAATTGGAAAGTTCCTGCTCATTAATGACCTTTATTTAGGTTTATATATTTCTCCATTCTTCAGAAAAATTGGTTTGAGCACCAGCTTACTTTTATTTGAATCAGATACAAACTCTCTTTTCTAGGGAGAGGTCTCCCTATCAAATGTTCAAATGCTCAATATAATTAATGTAAAAGGCATAGAAATAAATGGAAACAAGATTCCTAGTTGAAAGGCCCTATTTTGAACTATTAGAACCAAATGCAGTAATTGCAGAATTCCATAGTTTAAGGCCAACCTTTCACAAAACCTCTCTCTTCGTTTTAGTTTCTCTCCTTCTTCCCCATCTCCTTCCAGTATCCCAAGTTCAATTGCTCTTTTTTTTTGGGTCACAAACCCACAGTGCTCATCATTCCTACACCAGTTAACCCCCTACAGCCCAGAATGCACCACCAGCAAGATCAGTTTAGCAACAACCACAGGGAGGGATTCTGTTAGTCAGCAGCACTGCACACAAAGAGCTGCCCCAGCCACAGAGAGCAATAAACACTCAGCCAACTTTTCATGTGGAAGTCAGAGGAGACAGAACATGGTGGAAAATTCCAGGGAACACCAGTATACAACAAGGACCAAGCATAAGGCTCTGAGATCATCTGTTGGATCAAGCAATGGCTTGTCCCTGCCCAAACCATCAATGTTTTGCCTCACCAAGAATTATCCTTAAATGTATGATTTCTTTCCAATCTGTCATGTTCTTCAGCATTGGAGGCAGTGAGAGAGTGTGAAAGGATAGGATGGATTCTGTAGCCTTGGAGATGTTTGCATAATTTTCCCTTGGCTGTTTGGAGCTAGTAAGGGATGGGACTTCTTGTTTGGCTGGGAGAAAACAGTATAAACAGCATACATGTTTTTTTAACAAAGATTGTCAGAAGGAAGTGTGGCCCTTCTTTTCACCAACTGGAAGCAGCCAGTAATTTCTTGATCTAATTTCTCTCCTAAGACCTAATTATGGTTATCATATCAGCTCATAAAACAGCCTACCATGAAAAGGAAAGAAAATTCTTTGGAGGCAAGTCTAGTAAATGGTGCAGAGCCCAGAGAACCTGTCACATTTAATTTTACAGTAATTCACTATTCTTTGATGTTACTTGTGTCACTGAATGAAAACCTAGTCTAAGCATTTTTAAATGAAATTATTTTTTCTCTTTTAATGTTTTCTTTAATTTGTTTTTATAATTAATCTGTTTTTTTTAACCCCATGCATATCTAGGGTAGAAGGAGCAGTGTTTTTGACAGATTGAGGCAGTGATAAATCATGGTAAATTAATGCAAGATTATTGAAAGTGTTTATATATGTTCTACTGCCTGGAGAGGGTCAGATAAAAATTATTCAAGTTTGGAAAATAAAACTTTAAGGTGACCTTAAAAAACATTTAAATGCCAAGAAAGTATCCCACTTGAATGTTTGAAAAATATTATATTCAGAAGCCTAGGTTAAAATAATATTTACCAATGTCAATGCTTTATAACATGAGGAACTGATTTTATGATATTGAATTAGTTGTTCTAAATACTCATTTATACATTTCTTTATTCCTTGACACTTCCCTCACTGTCCCCTCCCCTACTTTCTCTCCAGACCCTAACTGTAAGTAAAAACTTTAAGTATATGTTTATGTGAAGGATCAGAATCCCCAGGAGTATAGTACAACTGACAAGGGGCTAGCTTATGGTCACTGCTTGGTCACAGCCAGCTACCCACAGCGACTGAGTAGTTGATCCTGAGGGCCTGGGACCATGGTCACAGGGGACATCAAACTCAATTGGCATAACATACTATACAAAACATTGTTCCACCTCCTACTTTCGTGAGTAGCGACTGGGACCTTAAAAGCTAGCAAGCTGCCATCTAGATGTAACGATGGGTCTCTCCTCGTCAAGAGCAAAGAAGAAAGCAGAAAACCAAAATTAATGGAAACAATCAGTCCCCACGACTGGTACACCATCCAATCTGCAACCTATACAAGTATGAGACCAGAAGAACTAGATGGTGCCCGGCTACCACTGTCATCCACTTGGAAGGGATGTAGGAGATCCTGGATAGAGAGGGAGAACAATGTGGAACAAAACTCAAAATCATTTGGAGGGAAAAAAAAAAGGGGGGGGGGATGGTTGGGACAAGGTTTGCTGGTCCAATAGAGCCTGGTGGAACCACTGAGACTATGGCCCCTAGCTACCCTTCAGGTCTGGAATTGAACCCACACCTGCGGTTTCCAGCCAAACAAAGTACAGGCATGTGAATTGAACATTTACCTCAAGTAGACACACGCCCTCGAGAGAACAATCATGGGAGAAGGAAGGGCAGCTTATGCACAGGGACACAGCTTAGGGGGCAGGAGAGTATGGAGGGATGGACACTGGGAAGTGGTACCATGGGGAGGAAGTTGGAGGGGAGCTGTTGCATTGTGGTAAACTGTGGTCAATGACATGAGACAAAGTATATGTGAACTGCTGTATCGAGAGTGAATTTGCTCTGTAAATCTTCACCCAAATCACAATAAAAAAAAAAAAAAGACAAAAAAAAAAATTTTTTTCTGTCCATCAACTGTCACCTTCATAATTTTTGTCTTATCTATACACAAGCCAATTGTTATTTACTAACTACTTTGTCTTTAAATCAACTGAAATGGATTCCTTTTTCAATTTAGACTTGTCTCAAGCAATATATCCATGCAATCACATTAAATATTTAACTATTTAAATTAAAAAATGAATGATCAAAATAAAAAATGTTTTTTGTCAACCAACTAAAATGATTTTTGTACAAGCTCTGGGGAAGCACAGAGTCGAGGGCTTAGGCAGCAGTGAAGTTAAGCCAAAGATGCCTGTACCTTGTACGGGGGCCCTTGGGCCGAGGGGACCTCAGTAGTAATAGATCAGGTCTGAGTCCCTTGTCATGATGCTTTCTACTCTTGAACTCTAAAACCAGTTGTCATTAAGTTGATTTCAATTCATGATGACCCCATGTGTGCATAATAGAGTAGTGCTTGTTCCATAGGCTTCTGAAGGCTGTGACCTCTTGGAAAATAATGACCTTTTTTCCAAAGTACCTCTGAGAAAGTTTGAACCATCAACCTTCCAGTTTATAGTCAATTGCTTAACTGTTTGCACCAGCCAGGGACTCTAAGTGATGGGAAAAGCAAAGAAGGGCCTCTCTCTACCCAGATAAGACAACTTTTCCCTTTCATTGAACTGGAAGGTATATGTGCATGGGAGGAACATATTTGAACCTCCTGCCACCCTGTGACCTGTGTGTGAGGCAACTTGCTTAACAGAACCTTCCACAGTAAACCCACTTTCCCTGACTGATGGACAAAGAGGAAGAATTCTTTTTGTTGTGCTTAGAGAGTAGATGGGAGGTCTGGTGGCATAATGCCTAAGGCATTTGCTGCTAACCAGAAGGTTGGCAGTTCAAACCCACCAGCCACTCCTCGGAAGGAAGATTGGGAAATCTACTTCCGTAAAGATACCACCTCAGAAACCCAAGGAGGGGTCACTATGAGTCAAATCAACTCAATGGCAGTGACTTTGTTTTTTTGGTAGAGGGTAGAGAATACAATGAGGCCTGTTTTCACTGCTTCTAGGTACTTACTTTCTGTCCTAACATTCCAGGAAGTCCTGGGAAACCCTGTGAAGAGAATAACAAATAGAGTGACCACCTCTATAATAATGTCTGAAAAGGTTGTGGAAAGCTTGGTCAGCCATTTTCAAGGTGGAGCCCTGCTAGTCAGTCAGTAATTCAGTCCACAAGATGGGGATGGGTGAGGGGGCCTCACTTCCATTATAGTTTCTCATTTCTATGAATGGTCATTACCTTTTCTCCTTTGGGACCCAAGTCACCCCTTTCACCTCTGGATCCCTAGGAGGAAACCACAAGAGAGAGTCAATAGGGGGTGGAAGGGCAGTTTGGAGCATTTTCAAATGGAAAAGCTCACCAACACTCTCATTTTACAGCAAGAGAACAGATGCAGAGATGTCAGATGACTTGCCCATGGAATGAATGCTTTGTGATCTACCTTTTATTTGATCCTCAAAGATATGTTGCATTAAGAAAATAAAGCTATTGCAACAGAAAATTCTAAGTCCCAGGTCCTGTCTCATCTTGTAGGAAGCTTGTACCTCAGTTCCAGCTGCTGTTGTTTTTGTTTTGAAAGATGGGAAGCTTGGTCTAAAAACATGTCTACCATCTTCGTACAGAACCCCCATGCAAACTGTGTTCATTTTCTCCCTGGCAAAACATTCAAGTGCTCATGTGCTCTATGAGGTATCTCTGCCTTCATTTGGAAAAGAACTGCCTCCCTCTCACCCACCCTCTTTTCTCTGCTTCAGGCTGCCCTTCACTTCTCTCTCTGCCCACTGACAAAGAACAGGAGGATATCTAGGAATGGACACTGCAGTCACTGACTAAATAGAAACCTGGGCCCATCCTCTGCTCATCACTGACTCTAGAACTCACAACCTAGGCCAGGCTCTGGGAAGCCATCAGGGACAAGCACTAACCTTTTCCCCTCTGGATCCAGGGTAGCCCTAAAAGAAAGCAGAAGGCACATACATTTACAGTCAGGCATATAGGACCATTGGACTTGGTGCAAGAGTGGGAAAAATTCCTTTACATGGTAGAAATACAAATATGTCCTTGAAGGTTGTGTTTACATTAGGCCTAAAAAGAACCTTGTTTATCACCCTGTAAAGACCTGAATAAAGGTTTCCACTTGCTTTGTTATGCAGAGGCTTTCCCCTCACTGCCCAAGAGAACAGTAGGAATAGCATCCCTTATGCCACTGCGTCCCAGGGCATAGTGTATCAGAAAGGCAGGCTCACTGGACCAGCTCTCTAACCTCTGTACCATTCCCCAGCCCAGAGTGGCAGCCCCAGCCAGTCCCCACTCCTGAGCCTTAGTGAGAAGACCTGGGAATGCCTACACCAACAAACTAACCTTGGAGCCCATTGGTCCTCTTGACCCTGGCAAGCCCATCATACCCAGGTCACCTTTTTCACCCTGTGGGATTAGAGGGGGAAAAAAACAAAAAGACCAACTGTGACATTTCTTGGAGAAAGTGAGCCAGGAGAGGCATGGGCAAGATCTGGATGGAACTGGGGACATCGGGGCTGACTTGTGAATCTGAGACCCCTCAAATACCTCCTTGCTCACTCCCAAGGCTGAAGGCTACATACTCTACATTTTATTCTGGTATGTAAGATTAAATATAAAATTAACTACACAAGGCAGAGCAACTTCATGAACTAAATGCTCACTGTTGTTGTTGTGTGCTGTGAAGTGAACTCTAATAGCTACCCTATAGGACACAGTAGAACTGACCCATAGGGTTTCCTAGGTTGAAATCTTTACAGGAGCAAACTGCCAGGTCTTTTCTCCCCTGGGGCCACTAGGTTGGTTCAAACCACGACCTTTTGGTTAGCAACCAAGTGTTTACTTACTGCACCATCAGTGGCCCTGAAATGCTCAGTAAAACCAAAAAAAAAAAAAAAAAAAAAACACCCATTACCATCTAGTTGAAGTCTGACTTATAGCAACCCTAAAGGAGCTCTCGTAGCGTAGTGCCTAAGACACTTGACTGCTAACCAGAAGCCTGGCGGTTCAAATCCACCAGCCACTCCTCGGAAGGTTGGTCAATCTACTTCATTAGTGATAACCATCTCAGAAACCCAAGGAAGGGTCGCTATGAGTCAGGTCCATCTCCATGGCATTTAACAGCAACAACAATAGCAACCCTAAAGGACAGAGTCAAACTGCTCCATAGGGTTTCCAAGGCTGTAAATGTTTACAGAAGACTGCTGCCTCATCTTTCTTCCGCAAAGCAGCTGGTGAGTTCAAACTGCTAAGCTTTCAGTTAACAATCCAGTGCTTAACCATTTGCCAGCAGGGCTTCTAAAATGCTTACTAAAGTGCCCTAAATGGACAAATACTTGATCTTTTTTCCAGGAGAGGGTTGAGAGAAGGTTGGGGAAAGCATGAGATCACTGGGACCTCAAAGGAGAAGGTTGTCAGCACCAAAACCAAAACTCATCTGTTTTGCCCTTTGCATATTATAAAAATAAAAATAAAAACTCATTGCCATCAAGTCTGATCCAACTCATAGCAACCCCTCCTTGGGTTTCTGAGGCGATATCTCTATGGAAGTAGATTGCCCAACCTTTCTTCTGAGGAGTGACTGGTGGGTTTGAACCACCAGCCTTCTGGTTAGCAGTCAAGTTCCTTAGGCA